ATTTTCATTGGATATTAGTGGTTTTATGAAAATATTATTTTACTTCAACGGTCCAACAATTGAGTGTCTGATAAAGTTAGCTAGCTTCTCGGCAATTGTACGTACATCAATTTCAAGTTAACTCGCTGGATATTAAGAATACTTTGAATTACGAAGAAGATTTTATGTTATTTGTAAGTTAGTGAAATCTTTGTTTATGAAACTTTATTTGTAGTAATTAATCGTAATAGTTGCTATTGTAAATTGTACTGTTGGATACATATTAAAACGTATTTGTGTCAAAAACAAAAACGGTGTGAATCAATCTCTTGGACAACTAGCATAAATCAAATGAAATATCGGTATACTTCTTGACACTCAATCCAGGGTACAATTCAACTATTGAAATTTAAATTATTTAACTCTGCTTCGGATTATTTCAAATTCTCAATATGTAACACTCTGCATAAAAGTAGTGCCAAGTTGTTTAAACTTATTAAAAACTAAAAATACTTATTGGAAACTTTCAGTAAAATCTCGTTAATTTTTACTTCTTTATATTTACTTAATACATTTATATTATTTATCACAGAATATCTTAATAATTTGATTCAGTTTCTTTATTAAATCCACTGCATATTAATTTTTGGTATCAATATTTCAACATTAATAATGAAATATTGTAATTTATTAAAAATTTTACAAGATTGGAATAATTGTGAAGTTATAATACTTATACCGGAAGAGTGGGCACATTACTATTAAAAGACGGTAAGCCATATATTGGAAAAGACAAATATTTTTTTTTATTATCAAAAATATTTAGACTGATATCATTATAATTTATTTTAATTTCTAGATCTAAATAATGTGCCTCTACATCCAAAATTCGAGTATTTTCAATTTCTAATTCTACTGTATAAGTAGTGTTAACAAAATTATTCATCTCAGGATTATTTACACTAATTAAATCATCTATATATCTGCAAGCTAAAGCAAACATGTCTGGGTTTATGCAATTTTCAATAAACTATTCTCATACAAATAAAGATATAAATTTACTCTACAATTAGAATAGCTAGTTCCCATTAAAACTCCTATTACTTGTTTAAATATCTGGTTATTGAAAAAAAACATAATTATTATAAATACAGAAACTTAATATATCTTTCAAATTTTTGGAGCTAAATTTTCTTTCTTCCAGTACTATGAAAGGATAATACAACTGTTCTATTAATGAATTCATAACAGAAATTAAATCTTTCAATGGAATTGTGGTACACAGTGTGATAAAATCAAATGTTTGAATATTTTTTTACTTGTTCACAGTTATTCAGGTATTCTAAAATGGGTTGATTATTTTTTATTATCCAAAACGTGCATTTCTTATTATTCATATTTACATTTTTAATTTTATCAAATATAATGTTAAGTAATTTATTTAATAAAATTGCCAGCTGTTTAAAAATTGTTTTTATTTAACTAGAAAGAAATCTACATTTAATCGGAAATTTATGGAGTTTAGGAATAGCATACGGAAAACGTAAATCTATAAAATAATTTAGTTTATAAGCTTTAATGAAATTATTAATTACCGTATCTGTGGATTGGTTAATAAGTTTAAATGTTTGTGTACTATTGATTTCATTTATCATAATTAATGCATAAAACTTTTTACAAATAAAGCCAACATTACAATTAACTTTATCAATGGGAACTATAACATACTTTTGTAATCCCCGAATTTTATTTTTGAATTGATGACACGATAAATATATATACAGTATTTTTTTAATTTTAAACAGAATAATTTAAATCTTATTCTTTTAAATACATAAAACTTCCACTTCAAAAACCATCTAGGCAGATAACATGTAATATAGTTAAGTTTCGAAATGTATTTATCAATATTGTTTTCAATAGATTTTAGAATATTTTGCTTATTACATTTTGTGGCAATTCTGTATTTAGATTCTTATGAAACGTATCAATAAATAAACTATTTTCACACTGGCATGGTAAATTATTAACTTCATCTACATTTAAATTAGTTAAAGACTCTTATAATTGTATAATAGTGGAGGATTGGAACTTCATATTTATAACTAACTGGAGGCTTTAAGTTTTTACAAGGAAAAATATTATTTTTTTTACAGATTGAGGAATAATTTTAGAAATCTGCAAGTCATAAAATACTTTATGTTTAAAATTAATTACCAAATATGAAGTTATAATTTGCAGTTTCACTTTTTCAAAGCTTGATAAATCATTAACTTTAGTCGATATTTTACAATTTTTAAGTGTTTTGCATGATCATTACAAAAATCAAATTTTAAAATTATATTAATTAATGCTCGTATTTTATGAAGATTATGTTAATAAATCATTTTTAAAAAATAATTTACATAGATTAATACTAGAATATTATCTAAATTACTACAACATTCTATACCCTATAGCAGTCGTTTCATCTTTTTTTAACTCCAGGACTCCATAAACAAAAGACAATCTCATAAATCCTCATACTTTGCCTAAGAAGTCCAGTTTTGTCTTACATTTTCCTATGTTTATCACAGTATTTATTTGTTCCTCTAATCCTTTTAAAGACTGTTCATTAGTAATATGTCAGTTTTTGAAATTTTTAAATAGAAAATAATTTTATATAATTAAACACGGTGTTGTTTGTTTTTTCATCTTCTTTAAACTATGATATGAAAACTTAATCTTTACCGCAATGGACCCATTTGCAATGCTCACAGAATTCTACCAGTCTGCAAACTACAAGTGGAGAACCAAGGTTTTACAATAAATCAAATATAATCTAAAGGAAACTGAAATTAAATGGTTGCTTCTGCAAAATATTACTTTGTTTCAATTAAATGTTTTTATGTGTGCACTGTAATAATAGATATGTCAAATATAGAAACAGCCTCTGATCCATGACTTACACACTTTTATTAAGTTGAAACACTGAATAGTAATAAGTAAAAAATCCTCCATTTTATTTTAATTCACATAAACAACTTATTGCATTAAAAATATACAAATTTATACTACAGTTCACTTTTTCACATATCACATCAGTTTTATCCAAATTTGCCTTCCAGTTTCAGAGAAACATTTGTTCTGTATCCTTTTTTCTTGTTTTACTTGTCTAACCAGTTTATTTTTAATACTAGTATTTGAACATGTGTAATTACACACATGTATATCTGTATTTTTATGTTCTCCAGGTTGATTATCAATCATTACATATTAAACTACATGAATTATCTCAAAACGTTTTATCCATAAAAGCATTCTTTTTTTTTTCTTCTATACAGTATAACTGATGTAATGAAACATTTTTGCTCCTGTTTTCAGCTAATACAATGAAAACTTATTAATTAGAACAATCAGGTACTTTTCAAGCAGACTCCTCTAATCTGAGATACTCAAGACAGTCATAAAACTTAGGAAGCACCTCTAGCATTATAACCTGAATAACAGAGGACTGATTAATAATATCAATACCAGTGCTGCCAATTAAGACTGAGCCAAGGCTTCATACATTAGAATTCAAATGTTCAGGCCTATTATCTTTGTGTAAATCCTTTAATGCTGGAGTCAACTCTGAAGTATTACTGGAACATTCTTCAACTACACATTTTTTGTCTACAACCTCTGTAATCTGGAAAAAATAAAACTTCATATACAAGTTGGATTTTTATTTGATGTACATAATTTACTGTATGGTAAATCCATTGATCAAAACTATACAATCATTCATTCAACCAATAAAAAAAAGTAAATAGTTTAAAACATGGTTACACATTATAAACAAAGATGGAAAGGAAAACCTGAAAGACAATGAACACATTTTTTAACAGCATTAACATTTCTCATACAACTTTTTAAAAATTTAAACATGACAAAACTAAATGTATAAAAATTGTCAAATACAGAATACAACTTCTTTAGACTCAACACATTACTACATACATTTCTGTTCTATGATTTATATACTTTTTTATTTACTCAAGTATTTAACATGTTTCCTACAGACAGTCAATAATCCTTAATGTTTGGAAACTCTACCGACTAACTGCATCAATGCCTTCATCTTTCAACTGAAACAAGAATTATCATCATTAAGACACTGAATTTTAAAGCTTTATTTTTTCAATTACTCCTTCAATACAGAGCACGCTGAGAGATCAGAGGTCTCTCATTTACCATAAAATATACATCAGCATGATACACAATGTTACAGGCATTTAGTTGTCTTTATGTATAACTGTAATAACAAAGAATAGACTGAAACATTATAGTTGCACACAGAACCCACATTACAGTGAGCTACTACAAACTTTTCTTAAAAAATGCATGCACATATCTACCCCTTATGTCTAAATATAATGCCAATAAGTGTAATGGAAACTCACTCTAGATTAATTAGTACAAACCAACTAGAAACCCAGTAATCTTACATAAAAATTTATGATTCAACAAGAAAAACAAAATAGTTATTGAGATTTTGTATTTCATTTGGTAACCCATTATAACAAATACAAGTAAAATAAGATGTATAGCTATATAGGCAAGAAATTATATCCTGTAAACACTTTAAAATATTTCTCACCTGCTGAGCAGTACTAACTCCAGCAAACAATGTTTGTTTGAGTGTTTCTCTTTCAAGATCTTCTTCCAACTTCATATTCACACGTATACAACAAAAAATATGAACTTTATAAATATATATCATAGCTTAGATATATATTCTTTCAACACTGGTTTTAATGCGGTTATTTTTTTATAAATTAAACATTAATATTCCTTAACTGTGATAGACTGGGGCTTTTTAGTAGGTATGTCATGATCTGAAAATTTTCTCTTCATGCTTGAATAGATCCATAACAAATTAAGTGGTTTGACTTACAATCTATAAAGTTTATGGACTGTAAGTGCCCATAGAGAAAATATGGTTCTACAACATTTGAATTCTGATCATTCACTCTTGTATTAGAAGTCAAATAAATTATTAAATCATTTATTTTAGAACAAAATTTATGTAATAATTCAGATGATCTGACATACTAAGATTACTGCCTTATCTTACATGTTTAAAATCAGATACAAAGCAAATCCTCGTGCATGTTCTGTTTATGTATTTCCTTATGTACTGTCAAGTTTCTAAAGTTCTAAACTTTCATACCTACTATTTGTCCCACAAAGTACTGCCAAGCAAGTGAACTTCAACTACTATGAAATTTTGGTGCATCATACATATAGCTATATATTTAAAACTAAAAGCAATGGCTTCGAGTAATAGAAATTTTCAACCAGATAGGGTCTTAAATTAAACTGTAATACCTTATCCAAGTAATCATGATGCCTCTATTTTTTTGAATTATGTATAGATATGGGATTCATGATATGTTCACCTAACAGCATATATATAAAACAAATTGGTTTTAATGTAGGTTTGTGAAATCCAAAAGGGAAGTTCAACCAGATTATGAGTGTAGTCTCCCTATGCAAAAACAGCAATTTTTTTTCTTTTAGTTGTGTTTTTTACAATTTTTCTAAATACAGAAATATGCATAACTTTTTCACTGAACTTAGTAAGTTGTTGTTTAGCTTAAAAAACTTATTCTCATCATTAATAATTATTTTTTAGTGTTTTACAAAGAATGCCTCTTTAATTATAAATGCAGCTATTAATCTGACAGATGTTAATTAGCATGTAACACTACCAGAATCTTCTAAGAAATACTTAAAATAGTTTTTAAAAATTATAAAAACTGAAATTAGTCTTAGCTGTTTGTACAGAAATGTTAAGTACATATCCTGTATACAAAAGTAAAACTGTTGCAGAACTTTTACATTTAATTATTTCTGTGCTTTTCTTATCATCAAAGCTTCTATCTTTTGCAGACGTTTGCTTCAAATATATGAACAAAAGATTAATAATAATCTGATATAAGATTTATATCCTTAATATATACCAACTGAAGTATAAAAAAATCCACTCTAGAATTTATTATTTAGCAAGTCTGCTGAGCCTTGGTATTGGGCAAAAGGCCTCATCAAAACATGGTATGACAGATATAGTGTGTTTGACATATTATTACATATTCATCTTTGCTTTCACTCATCAGTTCTTAGGATTTATTAATATTTTCTCTGTTATATAATAAGTAACAAAGTTTATGTTAACAATATTTCCAATGTTCTTACAATAGGTATACATAAAATCATGGGCACCCACAGGAATGGGCAGGAGGGGGCACTTTAAATTTCAAAAAGAAAAGAAAATACTAGATATGTAAAATTACTCTCCTATATTACTGGAAAATCATAAGGTATTTGTATCTAAATTCTTTTTATTTCTCGTTAATACAGTAATTTAGAAGATATTTTACTCGAATCATAGTTTTATATTTATTCAGCCCGTGCCAGAATATAAGCCAAAAAAATTAACTTATTTAAAGAAAATAATCTTCTGAACTTAGAGAATCAAAATATATCACCTGAGGTATAATTCTAGCTTTTTTAAACAAGCATCAAGTGTTATTGTGAAACAAAGGATTTCATACATAACATTTAAAACACCTATAACAGTTATTGCTGGAGTTTTCTCAAACAATCATTCAACAATTTTGCTCACAATTTTCAAGATTCCAACCACACCTTTAGTTTTAGATTGATAATATTCTTCTTAAGTTGTACACATTTGGAAATATTTGAATCATTAAATTTATATTTACATGCTAACAATATTTTCAAATATTCACCCAGTCCACTGCATACCTTTGATGATGATGAAATTAGCAGTGCATCAGAATGAAGATTTTCAGCAGGTAATTCTTCAACTGGAAAACTTTCTTGAGAGCTGGAAGATGGCAGTTTTTTCGAATTTTCTTTTTTTCTTCCTTCAAGTGTCCAAACTTTCTTTGTTTTTGTGCTAGTTTTGTGTTTATAGCTAATATAAAAAAGGAGCTTATTCTTAAAAAAAACCAGCTTTATTAAAATTAACCAGATTCTACTGAATATTTATTGAAGCAAATGTCAAAAGACCCGAGTAGTATAGTAAGATTTGATAAAAGGGAAAAGAACAATATTAGCAACACTTTAGAAACTTTTACAAAAAAGTTGTATGCTTATTTCATATATTAATGTAAAGCTAGCTGCATAGCCTTTTCTAATTTTGAACAAAGACTAGAGACAAGACAGATAGTCAACAGAATCAAACTCCTACCCTTGTGTGAGTATATCTAAAAAAGGGATTTTACTGTCACTCTTATACTGTACCCATGATACAAGTGCATGGTTTTTTGAGACAATGCGAGGTGAACAATAGACCCTTGGTTTAACAGTCAGCACATTAAAAAAAAGGCTACTCCTGATCTCGACTTGGGTAAATGACCTTTAAAAATTCTAATAAAAAAAAATCTCTATTGTATCAGAAATTTATTGAAAAAAAAAGCGATATTAAGTACATTATTTAAAAACAAACACTACTACCATAGAAAACAAAATGTTAGGCTATTAGCATAGCTTAACAACAGCAGTCAGCAACTTCTTACATAATACTTATGGTGTGTAGAGAAATTTATGGTTAAAATGTGGTAAAAAATTGGATTTCATAACTTTTTTTTAAAAATGTGCAATATACTTAATGTAACAGACATGGGTTGTGTCATTGGTATAGTTCTAGATATCTGAGCTGATGAACAGGTTTGAACGCGTACAATACCACAAGTTATTCCCTGCACTTTAAATTGTATGTGCATTATAAAAGTGACAGTAAATCCCTGGCTTTCTTCCCTCCAGCATCATGGACAGTAGCAGAAAGCCTTATCAGCTTTTGCTATAAACATAAAATTCAAATACTTAAGTTCAAGTAGTTAAAGTATCATTATTAAGAAATTTTACTATAATTTAATGTAGTATTTGAACAAGAAAAATAAATATTAACATACCAAGACTAAAACATTTAAAACTCTTGATTCAAAAATTCTGAGCATAAGAGGATAGCCCCATTGTAATAAAAGTTTTATATCATCAGTTTATAAAATTTTATATTCTATTTTATTACAAATCATGTGCTGTCACCTATCACTGAATATAATAAATATAGATTTTATTATGAATATTTCATGGCTGAAAGAACTCTAAAGAGGACATATTTCCAGATGGAGGAGTATTCTTTACACATGAAAAGGTGTAATTTATGTATATGAATACCTAAAAAAAACTTTACTTAAGAAAAAAACACACAACATGTACTATAAAAACTTGCATTGTATACTTTCTAATTAATTTAAATAAATCAATATCACTTAATATTATACATGTATCTGCAAAATTGTAATTATCTCTCTCCACCAGGGTGTATTAACATATAAAATTTATTATAAAATGTCTGCTTCTCACAATATCTTTAAATTTCTCAATCACGCTTTGTTTGTTTGTAGTAAATCACAAAGCTGCACAACAGGCAATCTGTGCTGGGCCCACCACGAGTATCCAAACCTGGATTCTAGCATTGTAAGTCCACGGACATACTGCTGTGCCACTGGGGGGCACAACCACATTTAGATAATTAATAACTAGAAATAAATGACCTTATACACCAAATTGTTGTTTTTATTTAATTAGATACTCAACGTTTCACTTTACAGCTTCTTCAGGAGCATTTACTAAAACACAAACTGAAAATAGAAAGCTCCAACATTTTTTGGCACCATTTTAAATAGATAGTGGTAAGAGAGCAGAAGTAATTGGTTGTGTAAAGAAAAAGTAAGTAAAAATATGAAATTATAGGATAAATAAATTGCATTTCTATTATAATAATAAAAAGAAGAAGAAATATAATTAGAATAAGTTTTTCATCAGTGTTTGGATTTTGCCTGATAGATGGGATAGATATCCCCAAATTTTATGTTTAATGGCTAGTTTTCTCCAAGTATGAATTATTTTTGAAATGATTTCAGGGATAAATGGTAAACTGCAGTGTAATGTTGTTGTTGTTGTTTGGTGTGTTAGTGTCAATTTTGTTTGTGAATTGAATTTGAGGTTTTTGTGATATGAACATTTGTTGGTATGAATGAAGAATTGCTTTATAAAGTTGATTTCTTCATCTATGTAGTCAGTTAGCAAAGTCTTGAAACTGGGTTTGTAAGTATTTTTAGTATACGGATTTTTGTTGTACATTTGTAGTAAAGTTTCTTTCACTACCCATTCAAGCCATCTCCAAACTTCACACATTCATGAACTTGACTTACTTAACATTACTATTTTGTATAACAGTACATTAATATGTACTTCACAAGGACTTACATAATAAAGCAATTTTGTTATACGAGTTCGTTTTTCATAAATTTTCTGTTTACAGCAAGTATGACAAGTGAAAAGTACAAGGTCTCTCTCAAAGCTAAGACAAACAAAACTGAAAAAAGACTAGGTTTTTCTCTTTCTCTTTTTGGTTTAATTTTCTTTAGTTCTTACATATTTCAGAATCATTTAATGAATGTGATTTGGTTAATATCACTAGAATATGAAGTTAACTTTTGGTGTTGCTGCTTTTTTAATTTCTTAGTATTTACTAATTTACATATATGTATCACAATGATTTTAAAGCAATATACATATTTATTTGTGCAATTCCAAGTCACAATCTATTTTAAAAAATTAACATCTCCCACCTGTCTTGAGATGATTGAAAGGAATGGAAGGAAGGATCTGACTGGACAGAATAAGATCCACAATAAGAATCTACTGGTGAAGAACTGGAACTCTGATTACATTCAAACTTGAAAACTGAATAAACATTCCTATTGACTCCATCTAAAATATTGAAAATGAAAAGAAAATAGGCTCTTTATAGTAATATTCCAGGTATAATTTACAGGGTGTCCCAAAATTATTAGAACTCTAAAACATGTTAAAAGAAAAACTTCCTGATAGCAATCTCTAATAAAATGAAAACACTAGCATAAATAATAATGCATAAGATCAGTTTAAGATTTAGTTCAGTGTGGGAGATGCTGTTGTCATGACTCCTGTACTGATTAAAAAACACTTATAATGCATTTACAATGCATTAGTCTTACTATTTTTGGCCCAACCTATGTAATAAGTAAAATATGTGTACAATTAACGAGACACTTCATGTACAATTCATCACTATAATAAGTGCTTTTTTAATCAAGGATAGTGCTATTTTCAAACTACTCAATTCAAATAAGCCACATAAATTCATATTGATACATGAAATTACTAAAGAAGTCAAAGGACAAGCACTGAGGACTTTTAGATGAAAGATGTAAAGAAACACTTAATATTTTATGACTGCTTCACATAAAATTCCAGCTAAGCTTTAAGATACTGTAATTTAGTCAGCATGATGATTTCTAGTATTGAATAAAAGGCACTACTTACAGATACCTACAAAGTAATAAGAACAAGGCACTTATTATACTCTTCTTGGTTGAAAACTGTATCAGAACAGCTAAAAATTTTGTATTAAATCAACAGAACTTAAATCCACTTCACTATGGCAAAATCAAACCCCTTAAACATTGTTATCTCTGATAATTAAAGTAAATTATCAAAATGGTACATTTATTCTCTCTATATATAGTACTTTATTCTCTCTATATATAGTACTTTATTCTCCATATATATAGTACTTTATTCTCCATATATATAGTACTTTATTCTCCATATATATAGTACTTTATTCTCCATATATATAGTACTTTATTCTCTCTATATATAGTACTTTATTCTCTCTCTATATATATAGTACTTTATTCTCCATATATATAGTACTTTATTCTCCATATATATAGTACTTTATTCTCCATATATAGT